CTCCTTATATAGTCACAGTCAATAATAGCTTATCTCCTATGGGTATGGAGGCAGTAGCCTCACAGTAGGCCAATTACATCATCAAGTAGTATAGGGTCAGGTGAGGATCCTGGCTATAGGAACTTCATTTTCCCCACATGGTCACTTAGATTGAGATAAAAACAGAAGCACCTGCATAAAATCTGTCAATGTTCTCTTGTGTCCTTTTTGATTATCATTAAAGGCTTGATTTAACTTAGGTTTTAATGACATGCTGGTAGGATACCTTCTTTCCCCTCAAGACTTTGAGATCTTTAGCCATCTGCATCACATAACACTAATACAGCTTTTCTTCCATTTCCCCTTTAATGATGCTTTTTGTTTGTTTGTTTTTGAGCCAATGTAGGCTTTCTCAGCCTTCCAGGCTTATTTCTGTCTGCATCTTTTTATCTTGCCCTTCTCTATTGCTATATAAGGGAGAAATTCTCTGTCTGACAAGAATGCTCTAGTAAAAGCCAAAAACGAAAAATATCCTAAAATATCCTGATGACATAGTGGCACAAACAACAGCATTACTCCTCCTGATATTCTTTTCTCAGACAGAAAGAGGTGAAATTTCTCTATTCTGTGCCTATTTTTGCTATTTTATAAAGTGATACATCCCCTGCATTTCGTTTGCTTGATTTCTGATGGATCCCTCAAGATGTCAAGATGACTTCTAACAATCTTCTCCACACTCTGGAACAGAAACTTGGATAAAAGGGACCTCCAGGTTTTTTAACTGCTGTTCATTCCTCCCAGGCTCTTGCTCAAGGTTTTGTTCAGTTACACTGGCTTCCCTGCTGCCTTGGGAGGTCTCAACAAGCCCAATAATCATCTTGCCTCCCCTCCCTCTACTAACCAATTAAGGTCTGAGACAGTTTCTTTAGAAGTTCAATTGAGTTCAGCTTAAGTTTTAAATGGAAATTGTAGTAATCAGGATGAATTAACAACACTCAAATTACATTTTCAAATATGAAGTCCAGATGCAAAATTTTCTTTAAGCCATTTATTCATTTATTAATTCACTTAACAAACATTTACTGAGTTCCTAATAAATTCCAAACACTGGCCCAGGAAGAGGACAGACCAAGCCCAATGTGAGGAAGAGGCCAGCTGAGAGTCTCACGTAGCAGAGAACTATCATGTAGCTCCCACCCTGGGTTTGCATAAGTGAAGGTTCCTGTGGCCCTGATCCTCACCTGCACCTGAACTAATTGATGATATAACTGGCCTGCTGCTAGGCTACTGCTTCCACACCTGTAGGCAATAAGCTATTACTGGCTGAGTCTATAAAGAGTGCTGCCCAGTGCTCTGGGTGGAGGCAGAAATGAGGGAGGATTACAGGCCTGCAGACTGTTGGATCTAGATGGAATTGTATTGCTCCAGCTACTGCCAGGAGAACAAGCCGGGTAATAAACCCTTTCACCCCAAGAATGTTCCATTGTCATTCCCTAGTCTCACTGAATCCATAGTGAACTTGTCCAGGGCTGAAACCTATTGGCAAGATACTGGGTCACAGGAGCAGAGAAAATCAGGGGTTAATACCACATGGAGAGAAATGGCTTTAAGAGGCTGTGACATCTAGTCTGGAGCTGGAAGAAGAGAATTTCAGTTCTTCCTTAGGCATGATGCAGAGCTTCCAGTTTCTAAAGCTACAGAGGCAAAGGCTCAGAGGCCGCACTCTAGGGTAGGGTGAGTGTCTGTCTGAGTTTGGGGAAGGGTATGGTCTAGAATTGTACAGCGAGCTTGTGGAGGTGAGTAGGTGCATTTGGACTTGATCATGAAGGGCTGTATGGGCCATGTTTTGTCTCAAAGGTGACAGGAAGGATTAGGATGTGGCCAGATTTGCCTCTCACAAAAACCGTCTTCACAGTATTTGGCTGGTGGATTGGAAGGAAGTTCAAGGAAAGACAGGATATTTTTACCAAAGGATGTTAGTAAACACCCAAACAAGGAATGATAACTTGTTAGAAGATATTGACCATACATTGAACTTAACTAATTTAACTCGGCAACAAATCTGGAGGATGCAGTATAGATATTTGAGATTGAGACCAAAATTCAGGAATCACTCAGAAACAAACAATAGTTGGGATCAGAAAGCAGGTGTTGTCGCTGAGAGGAGGAGGGAAGCGTGGCCCTGAGCGCTGGCATCCCAAAGGCAGACGGAGTGAGGAGCCCCAAAAAGAAGTCCAGGGAGGGGCTCAGAGGCCAAGGAAAGCAGTTTTAATAGAAGAAAAATTCGGTGGACAAATGATGCAGACTAATCAAGTGTGATTTAAAATATAAGTATTCCTTGGATTCAGAAATGATGAAAAGCAAGGGAGTGCAGTGTGAGCCATTTTACAGGCTGTTTGGCATCTTTTATAGAACAATTAACAGGGATGTTTCTGTCTTATCTCAGGACCATGCAGCCTCATCTCGCTCTTGTAGTTTGGTGATTTCCTTGTGTACTGGCTCATTTGTCCCTCATCCTCTTTTCAGGAGAGGGACTGACTGGCTGCACATAGCCCAGGGAGCATCTTCTCAGCAGGTGAAAGCAAACACGTGCCTTACATGGTTGACTGCCTCCGTGAGAGAAGCGAACCGTTCAGTAGTGGCCTGACCCTGCCAGGGCTGTCCCAGTGAAACCCTACCACTTGCCTCCTAGGAAGGCCAGAGTTCATTCTGTCACCTCCCCTTTCAGCAAGTGATACAATAACCTGCCCCCAGTTTCTCTCTGGGTGTATTATTTCCTAGGATTAGTTCCTCTTTACACAGGAAGGAGCTTAAGAGCCCTTTGGCCAAACCTTCACTGAGTATTGATCATGTGGTTTTCTTGTGATCATTATTTGCTCCTCTGAATAGCTTGGACAGCCATCACGTCCAGGGTCACATATGAAATCCTCCATTTCTCAGCCAGTCTGGCCGTTTAGATCTATGAATTCTTACTAGCTTCCACCACTAGAAACTACTGTCTCATTATCCTTGAATCTCAGTCTTAATACCCGACCTCCTGCCCATTCCCACTTGAAGCCATCTGGCTGTAGCAGTGCCCACCCATCCCAGCTCTTCTGTGTTGTGCTGATTTGGCAAAGCGAAATGATGATTCCTGATACTTCGAAGCTTACTGTTGAATCAGGCCTCTAAGACACATCACTTTGATAAATTATGTGCTTTCTTTTTCACTCCTGCACTTAAAATTGTACAAGTCATAGAGGATATAATATGCTTCTTTAAGTGAAAGGGTTTTTCCACGTTAGAAAAGTAATTCTCATTATATAAAAGCATCAGATAAAAATATATGAAAGGTAAGGAAAGTCATTTATAGTTACATCACACAAATATTTTGATGTTTAACATTGTAAAAATTAAGTTTTGTTTTATTTCTAGTCAGAAATTTTTCAATTTTAAATATTTTTAATCATTGACACATGGGGTATATGTCATTTTGTATTATGATTTCTTCACTGAAAGGACACATCTCCTAAAGAGAAACACTGGTAAATAAGTGTAAACAAAGTTAAGAGGTTTCACTTCAATAGCAGTACCTAAACTTTAATGACACATTATAATTTTCAAGCCCTTTTATTCACATTTTAGGCCATCTTATTTTATTTATTGAATTCATAACCATAACCAGCTAACAGTGATAATATTATTAAAATTGGTTGTAAGAAATAAACTTTATAAAGATGATATACAGAAAGTGATACTATTATCTCTTTCTTCTTTGGCTTCTTTAGCTTCTTGTACTAATTGAGTAAACAATACTACAGCATTTACTGCATATTTACTAAAGTGTTGCCTTCAATCTGACCATAGAGGGTTGGAAATTCTTGTGATTAGTCATTTGTAACTCATCCAGTTATGTGCATCATGTGTCAAGGCAGAATTTAGGAAGAGGAAAATGTTGGGCAAAAATATCACTGTTTCAATTTTCGGTGAATCACAGTATATCTGTCCACATAAAGTTCACAGCCTGAAACTTCCTGGTCTCCATTTCTATTACAGTGTAAAAAAAATGGTTTTGAAAATGATAAAAACAAGTCTATCAGCCTATCTTTTCATTGACTTTGTTATGGTTAATGATCCTCTGTCTTTGGATAAGACCAAGCATACTGTTCAGATCATTCTGAAATGGTAATGCCTTTTACCTAATGAGTGCATCGTCAGCCCTGTTTCCACAATTATCACCATTTTATTTAGATATTAATCATTTAAAGTTATGAATGTCAAATATGTAGCTCCCAAGTCAAACTGAGGTGTCTAAATAAATCTACATTTATTAAAAACAATTACGATACCCTAATTATTTTAATAAGCCACATTTCAAAATTTCCTCTAAAATATTTAGCTCTTATAGATTCTGTCTAGAATGATTAGAAAGACCCTACCTAGTATGGCTGATATACTAAGCCAAAATTCAGCTGCTGCTGCAAGATGACAAAAATACCCCTTTTTGTTTTAAATAAACTGTAAATGCCTCTGATACACAAAAATGTGAACTTGAAAAATGGAAAATATTTGTGAACCTAATAAGCCATTTTCAAAAACAGTGACAGGATTAAATATCATTTTTGTACATGTGGTGTGACATTTTCATTTTGTTTCAAGTTATTTTACTTTCTGTGTGATTCTGGAGTTTGTAAACATGCCATAAAATTTGGTAATTACATAATGATGATTTCATGGTTCAAGCTTAGTATGAAGGTGGCTAGACAGAGCAGCAAAATCGATTTTCTTTTTTACCTTTGTGAAAAGAAACAGAAGGAAATCGAATGCAAAATCTGCATTAAGGCCATATTAGAATTATAACTGAACAATCTGTTACACATGAAATGAAAACTAGGTGCAACCAAGCATTAGTTTTGTGCTATGATATTCTACCAACAGGTTAAGTTCAAACAACCTTTTGTTTAACCCATGCCTTGTTTTGTTACCCACAATGTTACAAATGCATATGACCTGACACTATCTCTTGTCTCCTCTTGCCAAAGGTACTCAGAGGCAGGACTGTCCCTAGGCAAAATCATGAAGTAGGTGAAACTTGTATTCATTCCCTACCCTTTTACAATGACAATCCCACCTTAGATTCTCTCCACCCCCCTACCCCCAAGTGCCTACTCCAGTTGTGCATTGCTCCAGATTTACCCTATTTTCCTGGAGGCTCATGCTGTTTCTTGTTGTCCAATCCCTCTTTGATTGTACAATTTACCTACTCAAAAAATGTTCAGTGGCTCCCCAAGAGGAGCCAAGCAATCAAGATCTCCTCCCTTGTCCCTTCCAGTCTTTTTCCCACTGCTCCCCTCCAGTGTTCTACTGCAAGTGAATCACCCACCTTGCCCCTTTTATTTACACACCTTTAGCCCGAGCTGGCCTCCACCTCTCATCTCCATCTTTAGAAATCCTAATCCATCTTTCAAGGCTCCACTCAGCTGTACCTCCTCCACCTGCCTTCCCTCATCCCCTTCCCCCTACACCTCATCCATGTCACTCATATGGCACTTACCACATGTTGCTTTGTATTATAATATTTATGTATGTGTCTTGTCTCCAGGCACTGTGCTGGGCGCTTTACAAACGTAATCTCATTTAAATTTCACAGCAATCCGATGAGGTAGGTATTACTCTACCATTTCACAGTTGAGGAAACTGAGGCTCAATTAGGTTAAATTATTTGCCCAAGGTCACACTGTTAGAAAATAACAGAGCTAAGACTTGAACCCAGGTCCAAAACATATATTCTTTCCACTGAGCCACATTACCATCTGTGCAGTTCTTTTCCATCTTCTCAAAGATGGATAGAGGTTTAAGATGGAGGAAGAGGCCAACTTAGCCTTTCTGATTATCAAATATGTATTCAACAAAGAGATAGAGCTTATTGATAATTACTATAATTCTGGCTAGAACTGATTGGCTAACTACCATCCATGAAGAATTCAAGTAAAATATGAGAGAAAAAATCCTTACCTAAATTTGCCAGAACAAATACATGCATACAAAGAGAATGTTCAAAGCAATTTGTAACTCACAAAAGGCTACATAACATTGGTCTCTGAGCACTGTTGGAAAATAAAAACAAGGGAAAGAAGTAAACATGAGTTGGATGAAGAAAGGCTTCCTATAATACCCTAGGATTTAAACAATCTGGGGTGATTAGGAAGTTGAAGATATGACTATCATCCTAAATCTCTCATGAACTAACAGTATCTCTATGGAGTGTAAAGCCCATTTTTTTTCATTCTGCCTCTTGGATAAGTTAGTGGAGAGAAACTTAGTGTTTCTAAGAGGAAAATCTCATCCCAAATGGATAGCTTTTATTCCTGTCCTCTCTGGAACCCAGAACCATTAGGTCTCAGCTTCATCCTCTGCAGGTCCCTTCTGGGGAGTCTTCAGCCTAGGACAAGCCACCCACCAGCCACATGGTAGAGGTCCCTTTCTGGGAAGAATTTAGACTTAGAATTTAGACACCACTACCTTGGCATTTCTCAAGGCAAGAATAAAAATCTGCCTTCATTTCTGCTCTTCAATTCTCTTCTCAGTTTCCTATCTCCCAGCTTGTCATATTCTCAGTTGCATATTCTTTTAACATAAGTCAGAAAAGTTATCATTAAACATGTGTTCTCAGCACATTTCTCTTAACTTCAGTCATCTCAGCTTTGCCTGCAGACTCTGTTTGAATTTATGTATGTTCCCTGAATGCCAATTCCATTCATATATGGCTCTACCCTTTATTTCCTCATACCAATCTTAACAATCATTTAAAAATTATTGTTCAGGGGAAAAACATGCATGAATCTAAGCTTGAATGTAGCCAAGCCATATTGAACTCCAGGCCCTATCTTAGAAAGCCTGGCGATTTCCTTTTCAGTTACCTGCTAAACCTGAGGAATTCAATGAACCCAACAGGAAACCTCCCTTCAACCATACTGGAAAAAACTCAAACACAAAAGCTCGTTTTTTTTTTCTTTTCTTTAAAGTTTTTATGGTTTTCTTATCCTCTACAAAAGCCCTCCAAGCTAATTCATTTTTTCTTACTTTTTATGTTGAAGTAAGTATAGATTCACAGGAAATCGCAAAAGAAATGCCCAAGGAGGCCTTGTGTACCCGTTACCCCCTTTCTCCCCATGGTTATATCTTATATAATGACAGGGCAGTAGGAAAGCCAGGAAGCTGACATGAATCAAATTCACTTTTAAATTTCAAAAAAGAAAAAAAAGAATGCATCCTAAAGGCAACCGAGTCAGTTTTGTTCCATTCAATATTCTGTTTCTGCTCGCCAGCAATAGCCAGGCTGACAGCCGTGGAAAACAAATGGTGGCGTGCTGTTCCACCACAGAGGAAGTTCTACCGCTTTGCTGGAGATGATCCTCGGGTCTCTTTCAAATTCTAGGTCAATGTCACAGCAGAGCTCGAAAAGGAGCCCTCCTCAGAAGACATGGGTTGGAATCTGGTTCTGCCTCCAAACAGGTGACCTTGAGCAAGTCACTTGACCTCTCCAAGCTTCAGTGTCTTCATCTATAAAATGGAGAACATATTTCTCCTGCCTACTTCAAAGGGTTGTTGTGAGGGTCAAATGTGATGGTGTGTATGAAGGGAGGCGGTAGGCTATGAATCACCGGTCAGGAAGTTTCTATCCTTTTCTGAAATAACTGCCAGGGGCAGCAGTGTAGTTTTTCAGAGGTGGTTTTATTCTTAGAAACAGAACAAAACCACCCCTTGATTGGACACAAGGCCTAGAATTCCCATCATGTGTAAATGACCTTCCCTTTCACCCACTTGTGGGAGGACAGGTGCTAGCAATATATCGGACAAGCACTGGGTGACTCATTACCTACATACCCCTGAGGCATACGATCTATTTTAAAATAAATATTTCTAACATTGTCTTCTGAAAGGTCGAATGCATTTTAAGTAGCTTTTATTCTTATTCTGACCACAGGACTCATTCTGACTTTTTTTCATGCCATGAGATGTACAATAAATAGGTGCTCTTGACAATAGTGAGAATTATAAGGGTACCAGACTAGACAGCGGATGGTTTATGAAGCAGAAATGGAATTCATCCAAGCTGCATTGTGCTTTGGTTTGTCTGGATACATGACATAAACTCCCTAACTCACTTGGTGGACTCTGGTATGTGGGTAGTAAAAATGCTAGTCATGCCAGTCAGGGTGGAGAAATATATAGGATAAAATAAACTTAAATCATGAAAAGTAAAGATAAAAGTCTTTGTGTGTGTTGAATGCTTTGGGCACTGCAATAAAAATGTTAAGATGTTATGGTGGACTCTGGTATGTGGGTAGTAAAAATGCTAGTCATGCCAGTCAGGGTGGAGAAATATATAGGATAAAATAAACTTAAATCATGAAAAGTAAAGATAAAAGTCTTTGTGTGTGTTGAATGCTTTGGGCACTGCAATAAAAATGTTAAGATGTTTTCTCCCCTCTCCCCCTATATACAGGCTAGCATGGCTCTGACCTATGACCCCACTGCTGCCATACAGAATGGGTAAGTAGACTGCATTGTCTCTAAGTTAATTGCTAGGATATCTAAGAAGGCTTCATGAGCTCTGACATCAGTACTGAAGAAAAATGTGCAAATCTTTCTTTGGTTTTAGAGGTCTAAACAAAAAGTTTAAATCAAATATTTTTCGCTGTTGTGCTTTTATCTTCCATGAGATGACGTCATAACCTCTCCCCAGTCACCCATTCTCACCTCTATATAACAGTGCCTCTACTCACATTGCGCCCCCACCTACCCCTGCTTTCTGTCATCTGAGAAAGAGTAGGGAATAGGATGTCAGGAGGGGCTCAGATAGAGCTAGACTAGGAGAAGTATCTGTGTGCCTCTAGGATAAGAGTTTTGCCCCTGCTGATGACTCTAGGTCAGCTTTCAGTAATTCCGGTGTGCACCCAGGTGCATTTCAATATGAATAATGCTTTTACTCTTGCCTCCTGGATCTCAGCAGGAAGGTAATGGACAGAGTCAAGTTAGCAATTTGGTGGTTATGTCTTCATTCTTCACCTTAATAAGAATCTGGACATTTGTGTCCTTTTACTTAGAACAAGTCACAGAGCCTAAAATTCCTCCTCTGAAAAATAAGATATGTATACGGCTGATCTGGCCTCTCTAAAATCCTTCAATTCTGCATATCTTTGGTTGAAACTTTCTTTTTACTTTCCAAACTCTTTGCTTTTGCTGTTCTGCAATTGACAATAATCATTCTTTAGTTGGTTAGTTAGTTTTATTTTCACAGACTTTTATTCTGGATTTCTCCATGGTGTTCAGTTTTCTGTCTTGCAGTCTCATTAAAGAATTAATCAGAATGAAGGCCTCATTTAAGATCAGCATAGATAATACAAAGGATGAAAGTCTAATTCCTATTTGGTCAGCTGCTTCTAATGAAAATCTGTGGGATGTGGAAATTGTTTCAGTACTACTTATTCTTATAGCTACTCATTCAGGCAGTCATTTATTTAGTCATTTAATGAACACCTTATGAGTCTGCCAATCACATTGTCATTCTTCTAAAGGCTTTAAAAAAAAATGTATGAGACAAGACCTTTGCTCTCAAGAAACTCATAGTCTTCCCTTCCATAAAGCAAGCACGGATGGTAGGCTAGGGTGGGAATCTAGTCCTCTGTCCCTTGTTGATTAAAACTTCCCTATGGGAGTGAAAATTAAGAATATCCTTTCATTTATCCTGTAAACATTTCCTTATTTTTTCCAACAAGGCACTAAAAACTTGGTGAGTGGACAGAAGTAAAGATATGAAGAAGAAAGTCATCTAGAATCTTATCATACAGTTGAAGAGAGAAAATAGTTAACTCAAAGGGTAGAAAATAAGGCATTATACACTAAGCGATAGTGACAGAAGATAGGTAATATCATGGAAGGGAATGACATTTACTGAACCTATACTATGTTCCAAGTACTTTTTTATATTTGTAATTTAAGGATGCACGGTTTCAGAGATAAATGCATGTAAAGCTAGACTCAGAGACTCCAAGAATGAACTAGTGGTTACCAAAGGGGAGGGATGTGGGAGGGCAGATGGGGAGGGAGGGAGAAGGGGATTGAGGGCTATTATGTTTAGTACACATGGTGTGGGCGATCACGGGGAGAACAGTGTAGCACAGAGAAGGCACATAGTGGATCTGTGGCATCTTACTACACTGATGGACAGTGACTACATTGGGGTATGGGTGGGGACTTGATAATATGGGTAAATGTAGTAACCACATTGTTTTTTCATGTGAAACCTTCATAAGAGTGTATATCAATCATACCTTAATAAAAAAATAATAGTGATAAAACAAAACAAAAAAAAATTGCTAAGGTACCAGGATAATGATATTCCTAATAAAATTATGAAATCCAAAAAATAAATAAATAAATGCATGTAAAACTACATGTAATTAGAACAGGAAATTTACATATACATGGGAAAATTAAAATAGTAATTGAATGAATACATGTATGTCCAACAACGAGATTCAAAAAGTGTTAATATTTGGTACACATGTATGTGTACGTGTGTGTGTACCTACCTATCGGTAGCCTATATCTGTATATCCAGTATAAGTGCCTTCTTGCCCAAGGTTGTAGGTCAAGGACTGGAGATGCAGCAGTGACCAAGATGGGGATGAGAGTGACAGGGTGGTGCCTTCTTACACATTGCTTCAGTCAGTCACCTGTCCAATGCACAATTTACAGTCTGAATTTCTTCTCTAAAGACATAATTTCCCAAGTATTCATGACCAACCTGAAGAGAAAGAAAATAGGGGACTTCAGCTCCTAATATGAACAGCCACAAATGAATTTGGGGTGGTGCCAAAGTAGAGGCCAAGTGGACTGCCATAAACACTGCTAAACGACTTCACTTTTCTCCGCCCGTGGTCTCTCCATGTTCTTCTCTCACTAAGCCTATTAAAGCGTGAATTGTGGTCTCAAGCCTTACTGGAACTTCCCTTGCTGATGGCACCAATGATTTCTTAATTTGTCAGTTGTAACTGACATTTCTTTAGCCCTTATGTTATTTGACTTGCCTTTCCTGACCTTGTTGCTGTAACCATGTATGCCCTGTTATAATGTCTTATCCTTGGATCCTGCAAGTCCATTCTTGGCCAATCCTACCCGCTCTCCACTCTTACCACTCATTTGGTGTTTTCTACTTCTACCTCTCTTTCCCACTCTCACGAATTTTTCTCAGGATTCAGTCTGCTCTTATTCTTCTGTCTGGCCAATTTCTTCTGCTCCCCTAATATTGGAACAAAGACTCCCAAGTCAATACTTGAAGTTCCTAACGAGATGCAGAACACTATCAGTGGATCACTGGTGTTTCTAACTGCCTATTAGGCATTGCTCCTAAATATTTTTGGAAGCCCCAAACTGAGACTACTATCCTCAGCAGTTTTTAATAATACAAACTAAAGAAATTCCAATGAAAAAAAAATATCAAATTGCTTGTTCCCTTTTTTTGTTGTTGCTAATTCACTCTAAGACCATTTAGGCCATAATCTCCAGTTCTCTGGACTCACTCTCTATAACACTCTTCATGATGAAATTGGTCATAAAACTTATTTAATCTACCTTTGAACTGTATCGTCAGCCCAACTTTTCCTCCCTGCCATTGGTTGAGTTCATTAGAGCATAATTCCCTGCCTGTACTAAGCTTTTACCTGTCTCTAATATGACTCTCAAACCTTCTGCATGTTGCTTTTTGAATACGTTTTTTAAAAGCAAAGTGTGATTATAGTAACCATCTACCTGCATGGTTTAAAGTATTAGGTGAACTTTACTAACTAGAAAACAAAACTCAAACTTCCAAGAATGCTGTTAAAGAACTCTGTGACTTGTTTCCTGCAACTGATCTGGACCTTCTGTGATTCTCAAAACACACGCCGTACTACTTTACACCTCTGTACCTTGTTGCTCATGGAATTCTCTCTGCCTGGCACGAGGGAGAAACATTCTCCCTCTTTTCTTTTCTTGGTGCTGTTCTGATCCAGAGAACACCACCAAATCATACTAGGCAGAGCTATTCACACAAATAGTCATAAGAAAGAATATATAAAGAGTGGTTAAGCATTTGGACATAGCCTGCCTAGAAGCACATCAAAATTCTGCCATTTACCAGATGTAGGCAAATTGTTTGTGCTAGTTCCCTGCTCTGTGAAATGGAGGTACTGGTAATAGTACCTTTTCATAAGTCTTGGTTGAGATTAAGGGAGTCCTGGATGGTACAGTGGAATCATCACTGTAAATATTGATGTTGTTATTACACTGTATTTGATGTTACCATGACTTGCTAGTCTTTTTATCACATACTCATGACACCTCATTTATTTCCATGCTGGACTATTAGCTTAATAAAGGCAGGTTCCATGCCTTACTCATCTTTATAGACTATTTAAACCAGTATGGTGAATGTGAAATCAGCATAGGAAATGAGACTGAAAAATGATATCTGCTTGGACGCATCCAGATGGCTTTAGGGAAACCAGTCCCCTTCCCTGCGTCAGTCCACTCCGTTCAGCAAGCTATGTTTTGTTCCTTTTGAATATCTACCCATTGCACAGTTTTAAGTGAGTTTGGTGATGTAAATATGAAAAAGAAAATGTTCACATCCTATCAGGAAAATGGACAGGTACTCATTTCCAGTGTGAGGTACAATGCAAATGGTACTAGGATAGAAGCACAAAATACAATGAGATTTATATATGTATTAACTTTTATGTGTTCAAAATATTCTGAAAGAATACCCAAAAAATAGTGACAGTAGTTCTCTGGAGAGCACCAGAGTCCTGAGAAGTAGGGCTGAGAGCAAGAGTTATTTTGTGGTGTTTATGTCTTTATATTCTTTTCAAATAGAAAAATAAAGAAAATTACTGCCATCAGAATCCTAGAAGAGGGCCACTGGGTTCTAATGAGGGATTAGGAAGGGTTGCTGGGTAGAGAACCGACATGAGCTTTCCACTTGGAGATGCCTCATGTCACAGCTAAGGAACTTATTTTAGAATCCTGTGGTATTCTGTGACTGTACTAAGCCATAGGTTTTCTGAGTATCCTAAGCAAATATGTGGCTTGGTTGTAGTTAGTGGTTCAAATTGTATAAAGAGTTAAATGTTCTGAGTTCCATGACCTCCACATTAATACAGCAACATGAAATGGAAACAAATACTCCCAAATTTAGTTTGATTTTTAGCTAATGAAGAGCAAATATGTAAATGTGGACCATGGTGAATCTGTGCTGTTTGCATTCGGGCAGTAGAAAATGTCAGCTCTGTCTTCTGCTTGACTCTATCCACATTAAAAAAAATATGGTTCAGTGTCATTTCTGTCTAAGACTTTGAAGGTTACAGTGAAGAAGTGTCTGGATCACAATGGGAAAGTAGAAATGGTAGTATTTTGTACTCTAGGCTAATTTATGGGAAGAAAAATGTTCATTCTTCTTTCAGAGTTATCTGGCATGACTCTATAATTTGTTATTACTATTGCCCCATTGC